CTCTATGGCAGTAATACACCAAAAAAACACATTTTCTGGGTAAAAAAGTAAAACATAAACGACAAGAACTTAAAAAGGTTACATATTAGGGGAAACCATCCGTTCTCACTCACATTTTGTCTTCTCATAGATCAATTCTTATACATTAACATCACACTACAGACTTGCAGACATCAAATCTTTAGTTTCCCAATGTAAACATGTATTAACAAAGATGAATAAAATGTATTTCGTTAGTAAACAAATCTGCATAATAACAAAAAAGAAATAGGACTAACATAAAAATGAATCCTTTCTGTGCTCTGACCTACTGTACATCAGAGCACAGCTGGGGTACACACTAACTTTCAGCATTTGACCAGCATTGCCAAGGTGTTAGTCCAGAAACTGGCAAGAACAAGCCGACCTGCCTCAACACCAGTTCGATGACCCCTGTGAATTCCACAGGCAAGCGCTGTGCACTGGTGTGATATACAGCAGCTCTCTTTGGCTTGTTGGTGCTGAGCTAAGAACTGCAATGCGGTGCATCATTGGAAACTTCTCCCCCCCCGCACCAACACCCCTGGCTGTGTTAGCTGTCTCACACTGCACCCCTGTCCGTATTCTGTGGATAAGCAGTCTTCCAGGAATGTGCAGAAAATCAAGGAAAACAAAGTCTTCCCATCCACCAGCACCTCAGTAGGGCCCCATAAAGTTGCACAGGCCCTTTTTCACCCATATAAAGATTAGAAAGCAAAATGGAGCCCACAAGAAGTCACAAACAAGTGATATTAAGCTCTTGAACTCTGGCAAACTCTTGAAATGAAACAACTCTTCCAACTGTCCCCTAAGACAGGGATAGCACCAGGGACTCGAAAGTTGCTAACATACTGTACTACCCTTCCATAAACAGATTAGTGATCTTATTAATTCTAGGTGATTAGTGTTCACCTATACGGAAATATTATCCTAAGAAATAACATGGATTTAGCTAAGAGGTGTTTCCTAACCAACTTGTTGAAGTTTATTGAACCAACTACACGGTAATGGATGTATACAGAACATATGATATGTTGCGTTTAGATTTTCAGAAGGCTTTCGATAAAGTTCCTCATAACTACAAGTGTGAACAATCTGCTTTGCGTATTCTGTAGCTTCTGCCTGTAGGTTCACAGTGGCGTGGTTGATGCTTTTCACGGAGGAGATTACCAGCCGGTAATTGCCTTCGCTACCACTTAAAGTATCTGCCAGTCTTCAGCAGTGCCAGAGAAGTAGACAGCAGCCTGACGTCAAATCAGGCTCCGTCTCGAGCGTGGCCGTCTGTCAGGTGTCCTCCGAATCCTCTCAGGATCGTCCTCTTGGGCCCTGTTTTCGAGAACCACTCCTCAACCACCTCACAAGCCAAAACGATGCAGGTGCACTGTGCTGGTGGCAAGGAACTATGGGAAAGGAACTGATGTCTAACGTATAAAAATAATAATAACCTTTACACCACAGTAAGTCGGGCTGTCTAACTTCTGACAATGAATTGAATGTTTTTTTTTGCTGGTCTTCTGTGCTGGTTCACTGAAGAAAATGTCAACATGAAAAACTAACAAAAAAATATGCATACCAATTTTTTGTTCGATATTCCTATAGCCAGGGGCATTGATAGTTTACTATTTTGGTTTTTCCTTTTTGTCCTTTTTTTTTCTTTTCCTTTTTGTCTTGACAGTTCATTTCTTGTGAAAATTTCATTCACAACGGGTTGCAATAGATGTCCCTTTGAGAAGACTAGGGAATCGTTAGCTATGGTTTTCTCTTTTTCTGATTTAATGATGGTAACATTGGTATATTTTTTTTTCAAAGGAAAGATAACTCAGCACTTAAGAGTATCCTAATTGTACTTGATTTAAGGTGTTAAAAAGAGTCTCAATATAGTAATTTGTCTCCTGAGGTAAATAATCCCAACAACTAACATATGCTGTATTAAAGCCTGTGGCT